ACATTTGGGGAGCATCATTATAGAAAATAAAAGGAGCCATTCATTATTTTGGCTATTTGGCCCTGTGCCTTATCCAACCTTGGTTTCAACAGTTCTCGCTCATATAAACCCTCCTCTTTCTCACTAATTAGACTCCCGGCACTCCACCTGGGGCCTAGCAATGGATCTCTGCATCCAGATTCCTCAGTCCTTGGATGGGGTTTCTGGCACAACTATTAGGGTGTTTGGCCATCCCATCACCAGAGTAGGTCAGTCCCGGCTGTCTCTCGGCCATTGCCAGCAGTCTGTTTGAAACCTGGGACTTATACAGGGACGCTTGGCTCAATCTGGGAAGAGGGCACTGGACCTGCCTGGTCTGAGTCTATCAGGTAGATCTCAGTTCTCAGGGGAGGCCTTGCTCTGAAGGAGGTGGGAATGGGGGTGACCTGGGGGGAAGGGGAGGGGAGCAGGAAGGGGGAGAACAAGGGAATCTGTGGCTGTTATGTAGAACTGAATAGTATTGTAAAATAAAATAAAATAATAAAATAAAATTTAAAAAAATTAAAGAAAAGAGTTGCTGTGGTCATGGTGTCTACATACTTTTTTGAAACATCACACAGTTTTCCCTAATGAATTTGTACAATTATATATAAACTTTTTTTACAAATATGGAAAAAAAACATAATGAGAGACATCCATGACATACCACTCCCTCAATGAAATTGCATTAGCATTGGGACCACAATGATTGGTATCAGTCATCAATGTGACAGAATCTAGAATCATCTAGGAGCTAAGCCTCTGATTACACTTGTGAGATGTATAGATTAAGATTAGCCTTTGGGAATGTCTGTGAAGGATCATCCTCATTAGGTGAATCAATGTAGCAAAACCCTTTCAACTGTTGGCAAGACCACACCCACATAGAGATCTTGACCTCCACAAAATGGAGATATTGAGCTGAACTCTAGCATCTTGCACTCTCTGGTTCTCAGTTGTGTAGCATGAATCTTAAAGAGTCTTATTAATAAGAACAAACCTGAGGCCAGTTATTGGAGTGAACTCTGAAGTTCAGAGAAATAAAACAAGCCACAGCTAACCTCACCTGGCCAACTTCTCAGCTGGTCTTGTTTCCTCAGACTGGAAGTTTCTGTGTCCTCATCCCAATGGCTCTCAGCTGAATTGCTGCTCCAAAGCCTGAAAGCTTAACCAGCCAAAATGCTTGTAGTTTCTGGTCCTCACGCCTTATATACCTTTCTGCTTTCTACCATCACTCCCTGTTTACTTTTTTGAAACATCACACAGTTTTTAAAGGCTCGATTTCTGGGATTAAAGGCGTGAGTCACCATGCTTGGCTGTATCCTTGAACAGATGGATTTCTGCCTCTGGAATGCTAGGATTAAAGGCATGTGCTACCACTGCCTATCCTAAGTATCTAGTGGCTTTTCTGTTCTCTGACCCCAGATAAGTTTATTAGGGTACACAATATTTTGGGGAACACAATACCACCACACAGTTCTGAGCAGCTGCCTCAAGTTCCTGTCACTCTTTCTTCCACACTACTATAGGCTGTATGCTTTAACTGTGTTCCCAAACAATCTATGTTCCCAAGTAAGGGAGAAAGGCTCCTTAACTCGCTTTTGTAGGAGTTTTATCACAGCAACAAAGAGAGACAAAGACACATCACTATAAGCCTGGAAGTCATGTCTTTACTGACATGGTTCTTTCAGAAATGAAGTTCAGCTCTCCAGTAAAGATGGAGAGGAAAACTGGATTCTGCATCATCATGATATCCCCAAGGAGTCCTTAACTAGGAAGTGATAAAAGCAAGGTTAAACACAAACCCTGAGTCATTCTCATGATTTTCTCTTAGTACTCACTTCAAATTAAGTCGTTTTCATGTGAAAACATGTTCTTTTCCATCTCAGTTTCAGAGAAGAACAGTTTTGCAAGGCACAAGGAGCCTTTAGAAAACATTTACATATCTGCCTCTTTCTGCTGTCCCCCTCTTTTTGTCCAAACCTTCAGCAACACACAGTTTCTTTTTTTCCCCCAGGGATCTTCCTCATTCTCCACCATGTCTATTTACTTAAAAGGCATTTGTGGGTATGGATAGATGTGTCATTGGTTAAGAGAACTCACTGGCTGCTCTTTTAGAGGATCTGGGTTAAACTCGAATATACACATGGTGGCTCACAATGATTTATAACTCCAATTCCAGGGGACCTGACTCCTTCCTCTGGTTTCTTTAGGCACACATATCCTGGACAGACTACATTCAGCCAAAGAGACCAATAGACATAAAAAATAAAAATATAAAAAAGAAGATACGTATATCACACACACACACACACAAACACACACACACACACACACACACACACACACACACACACACACACACACACACATATTTTACCGTGTGTCCTCCATGGCTGTTGAAGCTGAAGGGTTAATAATGGGTTTATCATAAGTGCATCTTGGAATGGGTGGCAAAGAGCCCTCAGTTATGACAGGCTGCTTCAAGTTCTCCTCCATAGTCCTCTCTCATATACTCAGAGATCTGCACAGGCCCTACTGAGAGAAGCAGCACTCTAGACTACTTAAGTAGTGTAGATTTTTTTCGTGGCTACCATTCTGAATAAGATCCCACTGTAACTTGAATGCAATAATAAACCCCTACACTTCAGGTATCCCATTGCTGACTTCAACAAAGAATAATATGTCAATATTTTATCTGAGTTATTGAAAATCTTCCTGTGTCTATTATTTTATTTCACAGATATTGGGTAGCCACTGATATTCATCCAGCTAATAAAAATGTTATGTGCTGGAAAAAACCAAAACTAAGTTCAGCATTTATTGTCCCAGGATAGTTTGCATTTTAGAATCACATTCTCTGGGCCTCCATCCTCAGTGGTGTCTATGGAAGAAAATACTTTGTCCCAGGAGCTCAAGGTTATCAACTTCAGACTCCCTGATTCCAAAGCTGGGAGAAAATTAATTGGTATAGTTTTAGCCAGATGGTTTATAATCCACTTTTCAATCACAGCCCATAGAATCTAATGCATGAGGACATACTATGGAAACTTGATAAAAAACTAAGGACTGTAGGGATTTTTATGTTATACAAGATATAACATGGAAATTTTGTCCTTTTAGTCCCCATGCTCTCCCTTTACACACTGCGAGAAGCACATGATTAAGTGAGGAGACTTTAGATTTGTAAGACCCCAGTCTCCATGTGTCCAATCAGAATGAGCACTAAATGACAAGAAGCACACCCTGAGCTCACTGCAGCTGTCACAAAGCAAAGCACAATGTTTAGCAAAGATTGAGAGCACATGGCAACTTGTTAGACACTGACAGGGCAGAGTTACTCATCTGTCATATTCTTGAACTTGAGATTGGGAACTTTCTTAATTCACACACTGTTTGTGTCTCTCATATGGTGGTGTGTTTGCAGTCGACAGAGGAGAGCTGAAAATGATCATCAGAAGTAATTTAACATTTTATACCTATAAAGTGCATTCTGAAATTATATATTTAATTCAAAATAAAAGGGAATGTATATTTCCTAAATGGATATTTAATTTTCACTAATATTCTTGGCTTAATGGTATAACCTTAACATCAGATAAATGCTTTGTATATCAAATGCATAGAGCTGCTTTGTAATTACTTCATTAATGATGCACACTTCTGAGAGATTGTCTCCATGCATGGATTAGACTGGCCTAGAATTTGTACCCTAGGCTGGCCTCAAACACATAAGCCTCCTGCTTCTGTCTCTTCAGGTCTGGGATTACAGATCTGAATCTCTACTCCTTGCCATGATATATAATGTATTTATTTTTCTATTTCTTGTACTTTACACATAATGCTTGGTTTATAATTTGTTTTTTATATGTACTTTTAGAGTTCACCAGTCTGAAGTTAGAAGGCATGATCTGTGACCTCTGTTATTGCTACTGATTTTCATTCATACTCAAACATTTTCCCCCCTTGGATGGTAACCCTCTCTGATGGTGTGGTCTATTGGACTCTGTAAAATTACTACTTGATTTAGGATGTTTGTGTTCCCTTCTGGCGAGGTTTTTACCTGTTCACGATGTTAGCAAGACTATTTTCAGCCTATTGCAATACTGTTAATTCCAGGATTACTCTAGAATATGTATTTATGGAAGAAACACTCTTGGCAGTGTTGGTCTACAGACATGACATCTTGAAGAAATACAGTTTGTTTTCTTCTCCTTCCAATTCCCCAAATTTCGAGTCCTGTTTCAATTCCCAGAGTTGTGGGGAAGATGCTTGATAGATTCTGCTGGGGTTAACTTTACTTTGAGATTAAAGCTTCTCTCATCTCAATCTTAATGTTCTCCAGGATTTCCACAGAGTGAATTCTGGGCTGCTCTTTGTATCTCAGTCCCTTGTTTAGTCCAGAAACTGGAGCTCAATGTTCATTGTCCTCAGTATAAGAGTGGCTTTACAGATGGAAGATGATAAATACATTTAGCCTCAATTCTCTCTCTCTCTCTCTCTCTCTCTCTCTCTCTCTCTCTCTCTCTATATATATATATATATATATATATATATATATGTTGCCTTTCCTCTTTTCCTCCCAACACCTTTCCTTTCTTTTATTGCATGTTTACTTACTCTATGTTTATTTTGTTGTTGTGATTTTTTGAGTACATTTTATCACTTCCCTAGTACTGTTAATCTGAGACAGCTTTCCTAACATTTCTGCAAAAGCAAACTGATTTTAATCCATCTTGGGGTTTAGCCCAAAGTTGTTACTAGAGCACCTATTAGATTTCTTTTTGATTGCTCATACTCCCTGTGATGGTATTTTTGTCTGTTCATTGACACTATCCACTCACACACACTGTCCAAATATTTCCTTATGTATTTGCTGACTGCTTTGCATGGGCCTCTCCTGTCCAGGCCAGCTGCTCAGAATTTATAAACCAGGCATTTGTGGTGATAACTGAGAAGCATTAGACAGCAGGGGGAGCAAGATGGAATCACAGACCCAGGTCCTCATGTCCCTGCTTCTCTGGGTGTCTGGTGAGAAATTCAAAATTATTATAGTCTTTTTAGATTCACTTCTTTGTATGTAAGTAATTTACAATGTGTGTTATGACATAACCATTTTTACTATATTGTGTAAGTTATACACTCTGAAAACATGACATTACAAGGATATTAAATGACAAATTTCAACTGTTACTACATTTTGTGTTTGCATTTTATTCATTTTCTTTATGTATTCCTGATTGCAGGTGCCTGTGCAGACACTGTGATGACCCAGTCTCCTTCCTCCCTGGCTGTGTCAGCAGGAGAGAAGGTCACCATCAGCTGCAAGTCCAGTCAGAATCTTTTTTACAGTGAAAACAAGAAGAACTACTTAGCCTGGTACCAGCAGAAACCAGGGCAATCTCCTAAACTGCTGATCTACTGGGCATCCACTCGGAACACTGGGGTCCCTGATCGATTCATAGGCAGTGGGTCTGGGACAGATTTCACTCTCACCATCAGCAGTGTTCAGGCTGAAGATCTTGGAGATTACTACTGTATGCAGGATTATTACTTTCCTCCCACAGTGCTTCAGCCTCCAACAGAAACCTCCTCTGAGAGTCTCAGCAGCTGCCTGCACCACACACAGCCCTGGACCTGCATTCTTCCCCTTTCTGCCTGAGAGCCAGTGAGCCTAAAACATTGATGAAAAAGTTTGCAGAGCCCAGAAAAAAATAATGGCTTCAATGTTTCTTATGTCTTCTGGTATGAAAAAACCTCTATACTAGAAGGCAAAGGAGAACTCAGTATTATCTTTCTATTCCTTCTGTAACACATTACCACAAACTCTGTTGCTTGAATATGAGGGATTTATCATTTATAGTTCTGGAGTTCTGGTGTCTATCATAAGAGTCTATGGACTGAAGCGATGATGATGGCAAACTGTATTTGTTTGGAGGCTGTGGAAAGCATGTTTTCTATTTTTTTCTAGATTCTGGAGGTTTTTCTTACTTCCTTACTTATGTTTATTTCTTCTGTCTTTTTCTTTTACTTTTTATTACATTTTAGTAAATTACTATTTTCTCTGTTCATGTGAGTATTCATTTGAGTGACTGTGTGTATGTGTGTGCATGCTTTTAGGTGCAAATTTGATCTGGCATAGTTGTGGAGGTCAGAGGACAGCTTGGACTTGATTATCTCTTTGTCATTTGAATTCTGAGGATAAAACTCAGGTTTTAAATCAGACTTGGTGGCCAGTGTCTTTGGTATGTGAGCAATCTTGCTGCCCATTAAAATCTATTGAAGTAAATTCATTGTACACAATTTTCTTAAAAGCAATGTTTTTTCTAGTATATCATTTATTTTGAGCTTATGCACTAACCTTCTGCGTTTCCTGTTCCTTTTTCTGCTATATTTTCTTCTCCCGTCTATCTTCTACCTTTATTTCTCTGTCTGTCATACATACACCTACACCCATACTCACACCCCTCACCCACCCACCTGCACCCACATTCACATACACACTTATGCACACATATATATACAAATAAACACATATTCACATTATACACATATATATACACTACATATACACATACACACATGCACACACTCATGAATGTATAAGGAAATATACATAGCCATATATATATATATATATATATATATATACACTTTACATACATAGAATACAGATACTTAGGATCTGCGTAGGAGGGAAAATGTAATATTTCTTGCACTTGTTTCTCAGGCAACATCTCTGTCTGAAGTCTCCATATCTGATTTCCAATTGTGGAGACTGAGAAAATCTCTCTTCATTCTAACATTGGATATAATTCTGTGTCAACAGACTCTGCCTTCCAGTCTTTACACTTCATATCAATTAATAAAGCTTAATGTTAGTAGGGGGGATATAATATGCTCCCATGTAAAAAAATGTGCTAACTAATCATGTCCATATTTGATTAAGAAACTTTTTGGAGATACGGCAGGCAACAAGTGTGTTACAGATTATATAAAATTGATGGAGATCTCCAATTCCTTAAAGCTGAGTGATTCTGGGCAGTCAACTCTTGAGTGTAGGTTGCTAAATTTAGAAAAGCTTCAAATAAACCAAAAGAGGTACTTAAATGAAAGGTATGAATAGCAACACAGAAACACATTATCATAAAAAATTGAAGCAAAAATTATGTCCCCAAAGGATCATGATTCAACTCAAAGATCTGAAATAGGTAAAATGTTGGGTGAAGATTTCCAAAACATACTCATAAAATGGTGAATTACCACAAAAGATATAAACAGAAAATTTTTTATGCAATCAAAGATGTAGGGAGGAAGGCAAACATAAACAAGATGAATAAAACAATCAGCAATATGGCAAAATAAATGAACAACGGAAAACCACAACTGAAATGTTAAATTAAATATTTAATGTGATAACCTGAACTCTCATTCAGAACCTTAAAGACCAGAAAAGTATGGAACAATGTATTTCAGACTCTTATATTAGGTCATTGCCAAATAAGTTTGCTATGTTCAGAAAAATTGTGTTTAAAGTAAGAGAGAAATAAGGACATTACAAGCACATCACAAACTAAGCCATTTCAAGACCATGAGGATAGCACTGCAGAAGAAACTATAAAAAAAACTATGCACAAAGAAAAAGAAGGATCAACTCAATCATGAGAATACAGACAAAATGATAATGTCAAAAGAGGAATAAATAAACAATGGTTATCAGGAAAGGAGATATCAATATGTCCAACATTATAAAGCCAGAAATTCCAATACAGGTGAGGAATAGAGGAAAAAGAAAACAAATGAACAACAATCTAATATAGCAAGAAACACCAAGAAAATGATAGAAATTTATAAATATTTATTAATGAACTTATGTGACACCAATTCAGCAAGAATGATGCACATATTGTTTTTACTATGTTAGAATACTATAACCAACTGTCTGTTTTCTCCAAGAAATGCACCTAACTTTTAATGATACACACATGCTAAGATTTAAATTATGGAACTAAATATACCAAGATAATGTGTAAACAGAGGTTTCTCTGTTTCACTCCATTCCATAGCCACTTCCAAATAATCACTCAAAGGATTATATTAATTACAAATGTTTGGACAGTGGCTCTAGCTTATTACATCAGCTGCTCTTACATTTAAATTAATGCATTCCTATTAATCTGTGTATCACCATGTGACCTGTTGCTCACCAGAGCACTGGCATCTTGCTTCTTGGGCAGTTACTGGTATCTGCCTCCACTCCACTCTCCTATCTCCCTGTATTCTGTTTGGCTTTCCATCCTAGCTATATGCTGCCTGGCTATAGGCCAAATCAGCTTTATTTATCAACCAATGAGAGCAGCACATATTCACAGCATACAGAAAGAACATTCCATAGCATTTCCCCCTTTCTGTCTAATCAAAAAGGAAGTTTTTAACTTTAACATAGTAAAATTATATACAATAAAAATATGGGAAGGAGAAATAGATGAGATCTCCATAAGTAAACTGGTGATGAGGGGTGGGCAATAGATGGTAGGGGATGGGGGATGAGAATATAAGGGAATGGGATGGTCAAGCTGGAACAGGCATGGAGTGGGAAAACAATGAAATAGATACCATGATAGAGGGAGACATCAGGGGGATAGGGAGAAACCAGGTGCTAGGGAAGTTCCCAGGAATCCCTAAGGATGACCTCAGCCTAGACTACTAGCAATAGTGGAGAGGGTGCCTGAACTGGCTTACCCCAGTAATCTGATCAATGAATACCTTAACTATCATCATAGAGCCTTTCTCTAATAACTGATGGATGAAGATGCAGAAACCCACAGTGAAACAGCAGGCTGAGCACCAGGAGTCAAGTTGAAGAGAGAGAGGAGTGATTCTATGAGCAAGGATAACAAGATCATGATGGAGAAACCTACAGAGACAACCAAACCAAACTAGTGGGAACTCATGAAATTTCGATGAACAGCTGTGAAGCCTGTGTGGGACTAGACTAGGCCCTCTGCATAGTGAAATTGTTGTGTAGCTTGATGTGCATAAGAGCCCCCCTGGTAGTAGGATCAGAATCTATTCCTTGTGCATGAACTGGCTTTTTGGAGCCCACTACCTATGATGGGACACTTCACACAGCCTTGAGGCATGGGCAGGGGCTTGGACCTGCCTCTACTAAATGTACCTCCTCATGGAAGGCCTTATATTTTATAGGAGTGATGGGGGTCTGGTTTGGGAGGGGGAGTCTGAAGGGTTGGGAGGAGGGAAGAGGGGAATCTTTGATTGGTATGTAAAATGAATAAAAAAATTTGTGAATAAAAAAGCAATTATTAAGTACGAATCTGTTACAATATTTAGTCTATTCATGTTTGACAAAATTAAAGAAAATACTCTATCATCTATCATATCTTTAAGAGTCTAAAGTTTCAGATCTAATTTATATTTTATCATAACTAAGGAAAACTATAATTGTAATTATCTAGTCTTCAACTCCATTAAAACCCCAGAAGGATATAATATTACCTGAGTAAGCAAGAAGAACAAGCAGGCAAATTTCAAAACTCAAGAAATGACAGAGACATCTGGCTGCTTGGACAGTCACCCAAAGTTCTTCTGCAATGTTGTGGCATCCATCTTCAGCCTACAGCCTTAGGGTATCTGGTAGACTTTTTAATGAAGTGGGGAATTTGAAAGACTGTCTCACCTATATTTGCAAAGTTCATCAGTCACTTTCTTCTTTGTCCTGCAAAATGTTAGGCAGTTTCTTCTGTGAAGCAGGAACCTGAAGTACACCATACTTTGTTGTGGGAAATTTTAGCAGTCATTTTCCTGTGGGTCCTGCATATCTAGTTTATACAGCATACTGTCAAGCAGTCCAGCCAAAATCAATTTCTTGCCCAAATGACTAGCCTTGCCACATTGAAAGTAATCTACATAAAGAGTTTCTTCAATGCCCATCATCATCTTTGATTTATTGGTACTTTGAGAAGCAGATGTGTCTAACTGTTGAGAAAAGTTTAAGTTCTTAAAATATTTTAAATATCATATTCTGTAGGTCTTTGAAGTGTTTGAAGATTATCTATCTAATTGAAATATATCTTTGTATATCTAAGTAAAACCTAACTAATATGGCTATAAATTTGACTATTATAGATGCGTAACCATTAATCTGTATTTTTAATCATATATTACATTTTAAATGAACTTCATAAACAATATCTTACACAAAAGTAGAAATATACATATGGCATAATAAATTTGACCTTAAGTTTGAATTAAAATTCAAATTAAGTTTGAATTGAAATCCATACCAATGTAAAGTATTTTGAGATTAACATTTGTTTTTTGGATTAAAATACATTCAATAATCTACCCCTTTGTATCATAGTAATATACGTTTCCCCCCATCATTTCTATATCATATCCACCTTTTTCCTTTAGGAAGAGATTAACTATGAACATTAACCATTTCTAACCAACCCCCCTTAGATGAAAACATTCATAATCAATATTTTAGAAATTTGGGCATAATTCTCTAGACAACTTCCTGTCGATTGGGGGTGCTGGTAATCTTATGGGGATCCTGAGAAAATTTGAGATAATGGCCAATTCCTGGGAAGACTAGTTTTAACCTTTGTTGATAGATATCATCTGACAAGCTTCAGTTCT